TACAGGAACGGAGAGAAACGGGGGAGGATCGGTCTTATTTATATATATTTATTCTATATATTTAATTATCTTTTTCGGGTATAAGGTATATTTGATAAAAGATTTTCCAATTACATGATCGGAGCATAATCGAACTGAAATATATATATATATATATATATATATATTTATGTCGTCATTACTTCCGATACCTATATTGATATCATTATATAATTTTTATCGGGTATAAGATATATTTGATAAAAAGATTGCAACGAAATAAGAGTATTGTATTGATATGGATCGGGCAGGAACGGGCGACGATTTACAGGAACGGACAGAAACGGGCGACGATTTACAGGAACGGAAAGAAACGGGGGAGGATCGGACTTATTTAAATATATTTGATTATCCTTATCGAGTATAAGGTATATTTGATAAAAGAATTGCAATTACATGATCGGAGCAGAATCGGACTAAATATATATATATATATTTATGTCGTCATTACTTATGATACCTATATTTATATTAATATATATTTTGTATAGGGTACAAGATATATTTGATGAAAAAAATTGCAACGAAATAAGAGTATTGCTTATTGATATGGATCGGGGCAGGATCGGACTCTGTGTTTCCTTCATTCCTTCATTCTCTCTTTCTTTTAACTTTGTGGTTAATCTGTACAGACATAACGGGGAGACGAGATATTTATCTATTTCTGTATCAATTCATTGCATTGATCAACACTAAAATAAACACACCTTGAAACATATTATCGACACTATAAAATGAGACATTCACTATTAAATTATTAGAGTTGAGTTGCATGCAATCATACACCGGTAGAGTATCTCATAATCTATCTGAAATGAAATCTAAAATCATAAAATTAAACATCTCTTTCCTAAAACGTATTCGTTTTTTCATATCAACATATACATGCGACTCAAGCAGTTAGAAATATAATAGTCAGTCTCACTATATTAATTATATTCATGTCACAAAATGGTGTTATTAAGATCACATGTATAAATTTAACAGGAAATATTTAGAAAATTTGAAATTACTTTTCAAAAATGTTAGTTATTCAATTTTGTTAAACATAACAGTATCAATTATATAACAATGCTGGAGAAGAACCTTCAGTTAAATTAGATACTCAAATACTATGAAATTCAAAAAGTATATGGATTGTATATGATTCGAAGCCCTTTCAATTACTTGATTAACTCACAGATAGTCTGTTTTGGACAAGCTAGATATTTTTCCAGATATAGTTCTCTGACCAATCTTATGAAGGATAGACGAGTAGGTTGTCATTAATCAATTCAAAAATTAAATAGATAAATAAAAGGAATTACATTACATCAATTCAGAGACGTATATATTACATATTACGTAATATATACGTATTTGATCATCCGAAAGCTAAATACTAAATGACATGAAAACTTGTTGTCTAATTCCGTGTTCAAACTTGATTCGACTCCCAGAGATACTGTATACATACACTTTTAATAACCATGAGTTTGTGACACTAATTAGGAAATAACAGAAATCTGTTATCTGGAGTACGGCTCCATTCTGGACTCGGGCAAATATCCCGGGTCTGTGCCCCCGGGCACTTAACAATCCAAGTTCCTGAAGGTACACTAATGAGGTGTATACTGGTACCGAATCTAAATCACAGCTACAGGTATATATATATATATTGGTTATGCAATGACGACGAAAACGGAGATAAATTTTGAATAGAATAGAGGATTTTCCCAAAAATTACTTAGTCAACTAAATTAGAACAGATGTTTAAATAATTTTATTATGCAATGAACGTTATAAACGTATTTACGTACATAGTTATAACAACTATCGATATACATGTTTATAATATGTATAAATATAGATTTGTTCCAATATATACTAAAGATACATGCTTGTGAAAAGTAAATCTACTCATACTAAATACTCGTCGAATTTATTTAATCAAATTTAAGTCTTGAAAAACATCAAGTTATATGAATGCATAACCACGGACTTTATCCAATTCCGTGTACAATATCTAATTTTAATTATAAAACATTATATCAACATGTATGTAAGTCCCAGGTATTGTTTATTTAGGTGGATTACAATGTTATAACAGCTTTTTCTCAGAAGTTAATTTAATAAATTGGTTTAGTGATAAAGATACTAAAAATTGTGCAACTGACTGCGATGAGCAACGTTTTACTTTTACGGGAGAAGGTTTTGAAAAGTTTTAACAATTTGTGACCACTACCTTGTACTATATGGTATAAAATGTACATATATGTCTATTGTCGCTATCACATTGTTGTAGTACAATTGTTGAGGAGAGGGCTTTAATAAGTTGTAATAACTTGTGCCCAATCCTCTTGTTTGAATTTAGAAGCAATACAATATGTTTTAATTAAAATGAAATATGTTGAACGAAAAAAGAATCTCAACGATTCCCAACCACTTGTACAGACCAAATCCCGCCTGATATTGAAAGCGAAGTTGATTGGCACACGAGACGTCTCTGACGAGACAGAGCTTACCAGACACATAGGAAATGTTCAAAGGAAATGTGTTCTATTTTGATGCACGTTCATATAAGACCAGAGAATACAAATTTGAAACGTTTTATTGTGGAAAAACGTCTGCGTTGCTGTCCGGTGATATACCATTGAATAATCTGTTCTTGACGTTTTACAGTTTTGAGTTTAGCTGGTGAATTCATTTTCTCAGCTTCATCAGACAAGATAATCATATATGTGTAATTAACCAATCTAAATTGTTCACTCGGCACGCGACGCCAATATTCAAAAGCCAACAAATTAACCATTTAGCTTATGTTATTACAAAGTGTAATCTTAATGACATAGAAGACGAGTGTTATTTTGTTTTAGTTTGCACAAGATATACAGATTTACGACGGAAGTATTTAAAATGTTACTATAGAAATAACCCTAGTGTATATAAGCTTGTTCAATTAGTTAATACACAGAATATTAAAGAATTATGTTATCTTGGAAAGTATCGCAAATAAGCGCCGATCAGATATATGACAGTTTGTATGTGTGTATTGTTCATTCTCCTGTGACCAATGTGGCTTTTTGTACATATGTAAATATCCTGTTTAATATATGTTTACACTGATAAGTCGCAAGACTTAAAGTTAATAAAGAACTAGAACATATGTGTTCACAGGAGGGCGGGGTCACTGATAAGGTGGGGTACTTACCTGTAACGATGATTGGCTTGTGTCGCAAGGTGATTGATGGCTAAGAAATTTGCTGACAGAGTCATCAATGTACGTTTTTGTTAGAACAAGAAGTCTATTGTCTACTATTACGGAATTAGATAATCGGTTTTGACCACACCGGCCTTTGAAAATTGAAACTTAAAGCGTTTCACCGTTTTTCTTTCTACGATACATATACAATTAATATACAGCATTGTTTTTCTATAACAGATAAGGCCTATGTGGCCAAACAATCCAACATATGGACTTCAATATTTATTTACGTAAAACACGTGGACTACACATCCCTGTATTTACATATAGAATAATATTTAATTTTCAGACTGATGTCACTTTTTTGAGTTGGAAAATTGCGTATTTTCTTTGAAAGATACTTAGAAGTTTCATTTGATTGAACTGTTAACCGTCTGCACATCAATAAGTACAAGAACAAAGGATTAATATAATCTTAATGATTATTTTTTTAAGATCGTAGACGTGATTGGATGGTAATCTACACATTAACACCAATTCATTCACTCAAAATATATTCATGCTATTTATTAAGAGTTGAGTATAAGTTATGAAGTTATTAAAATTTGGTTATCATAATGTCATTTCCAATGTTTCATGTGTTATGACATCCCAATAACAATGTCATATATATAAATGAGAAAATAACCCAGATACATATTTATTATATATGTAATATATAATTCTTTGAACAACCTTTTTTGATAGAATAAACCAGAGACATATATTGGAACCTCGGCCTGGCAATTTATAAATATATATAATTTAGTCCGATCCTGCCCCGTTCCTGTAATTGCAATTCTTTTATCAAATATATCTTATACCCGATAAAAAAATACATGATACTAGAAATGTAGGTATCATAAGTAATATTGACATAAATGTATTTATATAATTCAGTCCGATTCTGCCCCGATCATGTAATTGCATGATAAAAGGATAATTAAAAATATACAATAAATATATATAAATAAGTCCGATCCTCCCCCGTTTCTGTCCGTTCCTGTAAATCGTCGCCCGTTCCTGCCCGATCCATATCAATACAATACTCTTATTTCGATGCAATCTTTTTATCAAATATATCTAATACCCGATAAAAATTATATAATAATATCAATATAGGTATCCGTAAGTAATGACGACATAAATATATATATATTTCAGTCCGATTATGCTCCGATCATGTAATTGCAATTATTTTATCAAATATACCTTATACCCGAAAAAGATACTTAAATATATACAACAAATATATATAAATAAGTCCAATCCTCCCCCGTTTCTGTCCGTTCCTGTAAATCGTCGCCCGTTTCTGTCCGTTCCTGTTAATCGTCGCCCGTTCCTGCCCGATCCATATCAAAACAATACTCTTAATTCCTTGCAATTCTTTTATCAAATATATCTTATACCCGATAAAAATTATATAATGATACTATAAATGTAGGTATCATAAGTAATATCGTCATAAATGTATATATATAATTTAGTCCGATTCTGCCCCGATCATGTAATTGCAATCCTTTTATCAAATAGATCTTATACCCGATAATGATACTTAAATGTATCTAATATATATATTCATTAATGTATATAATTATTAATAGATTGCTGCCCGTTCCTGCCCGTTTCTGTCCTTTTCTGCCCGTTCCTGTCCGTTCCTGTAAATCGTCGAACCCCTATAACCCGACTATAAACTCCTACTTTCACTTTCACATACTTCATTTCCGGTTAAGAAATACGAAACCGAGGCTTATTTACTAGCCCGAAAGCAGTTTTTCCCGGGAATCTGGCTCAGTGTGCTAGGTTCTGGCCCCACCACTCGAAATGGCCGCAAACCAGCTTCAGTCACTATTTAAGGACTTCAGAGGATCCGAAGAGGAAGTAAAAGTCAAACGTGTTTTGAAAATTATTACCACTGAAACTGTTTCTCCCATGCCTGCATTCGTCAACTTAGTTATACAAAATAGTAATGCTTCAGATGGAACATCTTTCAGCGATGCATATGTCTCTCTTCGACTAAGCTATGAAAGCCTAGAGGCATTTGAGACAGATTACAGAAGTGGATATCCAAAGAGTGGACTGGTATACATGAAAGACATTTTAAACATATCTATTCTTGAAGAATTTCTGGCACATGGAGTTGACGCTATCGAAAAATGTTCTCGGCCTGACGTTTGTTGGCAAGCATTCTTGACGTTATTGGAGTTTCTGCGTGGTAAGTTTTATTGCAAAATGATCGTGTAGAAGTTTTTTTCCTCTGAGCACATGAAGACTAAGATCCGACATGGTAGAAATCTATAAGCTGATAACCACCTAGTCCGAATTATTCTGACGTTTATCGACTTTTTTCATATCGGTCTGTCGTCGATTAACGTCGTTAATCGACGACAAACCGATATGAAAAAAGTTGATAAAACGTCAGAATAATTCGGACGAATAAACACCATATATAGCTGGCCTGTTTCTGATGTGCATGCATGAAGTCGCACCAAAGGCGTGAAGCCATTCTAGTGGGGTACGGGGGCATGCCCCACCCCCCACCCCCCACCCCGGATTATTTTAAAATCTAGAAGCTCTGTCGTGCCATCTGGTGGTTTTTCAGATAAATATTTGAGTGATTTATTTTATTTTACAGGCAACATTTTTTGGTTGATTCATTCACTTTATTATTGGAAAGCATCGCAAAAATTCAAATGCATTTCAAATGCAAAAGACAGCTCTCCCTTTTTTCTCCAACAAAAATGTGTCAATTGTCGAAATTCCCCGATAATATCCGTTGTGTCGTATCTCTTTTCTGATGAATCTAAATTAACTAGATATTTAAAATGCCTAGAGCCCATATGAACAGATTAATCCCCAAACCCCTTTTAATATCATCGACATTTCTCAGAACATAAGATGACGGTAGCTCCTAACATCGATGTTAACCGTCACAGTACCCAAATCAGGACAGTACCCAAATCGGGACACTTGAAGGAAAAAGTCACAAGAAATTTGCATGCTGTGCAAAGAAGTATTTTCAAATGGAAAATATTGATTTAAAGATGATTATATACAAATAAAACATTATATAAACTTTATTTACTGCCACTTATGGTTACATTCAGTTTTAGTTTAAAAATAATGATGAAAATGTAACGTTCTAAATTGATGCGCCATGCAACGTTATTGATTTTCAATTTTTTAATGTGATTTTTCACATTCCTACTATTTCACAACTAATGGTTGTTTGTAAAAGAAATTCATTCAGAACAACCACTGACTCTTAAATATTCCAAAGATATGCCATGTTCTGCTAAATACTTTTTTTCATCTCCAAATATAATCCAAAACTGGTAGGGGTGTCCCGATTTGGGTACAGCTACATCTGTTTCGCGATTACGTAACCATGATTATATTTCCGGTTCTATTTATAGAACCACGCGCCGGAAATATCAACTTGTTATCAAAATGAAAAGGTAATGATATCTATTTAGGAAAAGTTAAAAAAATATATACTGGGATAGGTACTGTGGTGTTAGATATAGGTTTTGAATATACAGTTAAATTTAATATAATTTTCAATTGAAGCCACACATCATTTAATCACTATTTCTGACTTGAAAAATCATGAAAATATAATCGTACATTTGAATTTTTCATGTGCATGCAACTGCTTATTTGCTTACGTGGCAGCTACGTGCCTGCCAACAAATCATCCCTGCCTTCAACAACCTTAATACGAGGGGAAACTAAATAAAACTGAAAAAAAAGCTATAAGACCAACATTAGGGGAAATGCTTTTAAAAAATAGAATTGTAAATATATTTGGAATCAACTCCCTACAATTGTGGTAGATTCCCCAACCTTAAATGTTTCTAAATCTAGACTCAATGACCATTGGGTCAATCATCCAATCAAATTTTTACCATTGTGCTATTAATATATATAATATCAAATTGTATACGTGTCCTCTGCGCAACCTGTAAATAAGTGAACAACTATGAAGAAGCGTCAACAGAAGCAATGTTTTATGCTTACGAAGACGTCGACCACCATGAACCATGATCAGACCACTGGAGTTTGACGTTCTATCAGTATCAATAAGAATATATATACTGTAATAATCCTGTATACAGGGTATTTTTGTTAAAAATGAGTGAAAAAAAGATGTGTTGTCTGGATCACTGAGGTGGCAATGTTGAAGGCCCCAGTTCAGGCCTGTAGTGATGCATCTTGGTCATAGTGCATTGTATATAAACTTTGTTTAAAAAAACAATATAAATCCTCAGGGTTGATGATAACACACATAGTATGTCCTTAAGGTATAACATATTGAAATTTCACACACTACCAGAAGGAGGGCCTGTATTTGTAGTGGGGGTGTGCTCTCCAATGACGGTTCAGTCTCTCCATAAAACAGTTGATACTAGGCGCTGATATATTACATTTTCCGGAAATGTGTTCCATTAATAGGTCAATAACACGGTTACTAAAGAAGTGGCCAGAACTTTGCAGAAAGGTCTCTTGTACAACTTTTTGGAGTGCCCCCCCCCCCCCCCCTTGTTGCACTATAGCGCGATGGTGTGAATATACTTTCTTTGTCCAGAATATCGTGGTTGCATAGGGATTTTATATTCTTCTACCGCTCTCTCTCTACAAATTTGTCTTTACTCGGGTGTTGGTAATCCCAATGTTTTGAGTCTTTCCTGGTAGGTTTTATTATGGAGAGAGGGTACCCTTCATTTCTGGCAATATCTACAACAAATGATAACCGATTTACTTCAAACTTGGTCACAGGGTTAAATGCCTTAATGGCTCGGCCAAGATTGATGACCACTTTAAGCGGACCCCATTTGGCGGAGTTATGGCCCTTGAATAACGAAAAACGTCATTATCTGCCATTTCTGTTCATTTACTCTCGCAAATATTATCCGATTGTCTTCAAACTTTGTAACAGGGTTCAACGCATTAAGGACTCGGCCAAGTACGATGACCACTTTCAGCGGACCCCATTTGAAAAAAAAAGCTATAAGACCAACATGAGGGGAAATGCTTTAAAAAAATAGAATTGTAAATATATTTGGAATCAACTACCTACAATTGTGGTAGATTCCCCAACCTTAAATGTTTCTAAATCTAGACTCAATGACCATTGGGTCAATCATCCAATCAAATTTTTACCATTGTGCTATTAATATATATAATATCAAATTGTATACGTATCCTCTGTGCAACCTGTAAATAAGTGAACAACTATGAAGAAGCGTCAACAGAAGCAATGTTTTATGCTTACGAAGACGTCGACCACCATGAACCATGATCAGACCACTGGAGTTTGACGTTCTATCAGTATCAATAAGAATATATATACTGTAATAATCCTGTATACAGGGTATTTTTGTTAAAAATGAGTGAAAAAAAGATGTGTTGTCTGGATCACTGAGGTGGCAATGTTGAAGGCCCCAGTTCAGGCCTGTAGTGATGCATCTTGGTTTTTTATCTGCTGGGTTTTGTTTCTAGTAACAGGGTTCAACGCATTAAGGGCTCAGCCAAGTTTGAAAACACTTTAAACAGACTCCATTTGGCCCCTTGATTAATGAAAAAACGCCATTATCTGCAGTTTCCGCTTAATAACTCTAGCAAATATTTGCCAAATTCCTTCAAACTTGATTACAATGTTTGTGTTCCTGTCTTTCCACCCGTCTCGGGCACTCTTTGGTTTTCGTGTGATAATTGCTGTAGATATTATTAGGAAGTTTCAACCAAATTCCTTATTCACATCCAACTCATGCTAAGATTGCTAACCGATGTGATTTGTGCATATTAACGGATAATCAGTGAGGTATAGGGCTTTTTTCTAACCGATGTGATTTGTGCATGTTAACAGATAATCAATGAGGTATAGGGCTTTTTTCTTCTTCAAGTTTCAAGCTATACATTATGTCTCAACAGCACGATTCTCACATGTTTAAACATAACCTCAATAATGTTAACCTACAATATGTCCTGCAAGTTGGGGATATAAATTCCACGAATTTGCTGAGTTTTTTTTTTATTTTCCTTTATTGCGTATGGTTACAATGAACCTCGCATGGATTCGTGGTCAACACAGTATCTTTTATATCGATACTGCTTCATCCAGATCAAATCCTGAATAACATGTAATATATTATGATTGGGGATAATATTTTGCCTTTCAATTTTTAAATTTCGTAGCTGTCTAGAGTGGAATTACTTTGTTCTGTTGTCCGTTAAATGTAATTGGAAAGCATCTAAAACTACATGTATTTCTGATATCTTTCTTACATATCCGTTATAAGTGCGCCGAGATGAGCGAGGCAAAACAAATATAAATGATCAGTAAAGCTATTGTGTTCAGGTTTGTGTTCTTAGAAGAAGAAAAAAGTTGTGAAGTGTATATGTGTGTTCGCCGGTGATGGGGGAGGCATCTGACACGACAGTGTTCTTCATCAGTTCTTTTTCTCATTTTGAAACTCTGTATTCTGTACAGAACGGATCCTAATGAAATTGTACTTTCCTGAAAAATGGTTAAATTACGACAAAAACATATATAAAGCCAGTATGTACGTCTCTGATTACGATAAGAAATAAACTGATCAGATCTCCATATTTGCAATACTTAGTTAGCATATCAGAGTTGTCATAGGTGTTTTTTTCGCGGCATAATACATATTAGGAGATAAATCAGTATTCCTACTAAAAGATCACGATACTTTCTTATAAATCGGTAGATTAAATGTGCACCTTTTTGGGTATAATGTACAACTCTTTGGTGTTTTGATATTTGATCGTTCATCTTATCCTCATATATCTTATTGGTGTAGGTCCAAATATAGCTGTGAGCAATTCTCAGGTCCCTGTGGAGTGGAGAATCGACAAGTACATCAACCAGAGACGTAACAACCAATCAAATGCACGAATATGATCCATACACCAACAAATCTAAGACTAATCCCGATGATTGTGGTATTAATAATACATATTCTTTTTGTTGTGGATTATACTGCGAGTAAAAAATGAAGTAAGTTATAAACAAATTATCTGTTTGAATATAATCTAAATCGGTGTATGTTGTAGATCGTAACATTACTTTGGTGGTGTTCCGTGGAATAACTTGTATGTTCAAAGATGAAATAAATCGTAACATTACTTTTGTGGTGCCAAACTTTCACTTTCGCGTTTTTTGTTAAAACAAGATCGAAATGTATTATATAAGACTGATATAAAGCCGACATTGTGTAGATTCACGGAAATAGATCGCTATTTAAGTCCGTGCTCATATGTAGCGGTAATTTATGACACCCATAGAAAGGAAATGAGAAATACATTTCAGTTAGTTGACAAATACCATTTTAATGTTAGATACGTAAAATACATATCTCTCTTACTTCTGTTTGTATGTTTTGCTTTTCTAGTAATGAAATTGATAAAACATTATTAAAAGAAATGCCACTGACAATAGCTTATCTTCATCTCCTGGCATATCATTTTCCAAGGTAAATAGAGATCGACGTCTCCTCGCCTGAGTGAGCACAGCGAACACGGTGGGTCTTGCTGACGTTTCGTGATCTTTAGCGTACCGATCGCGGAGGAACGCGATGGTTTCCCTTATCATCGCAATCTTTCGTGATTGAATTTTGAAGACCTCCCGGCATAATTGGTGATCATCAAGACTCTTGAAGATCTTTCAAGCATCGTGTATTAGTTACACTTGTTGTGCAGAGATCTGTATACAAGTCATATCTGTCTCAGTGTGTTGTGAACTAGTCATATCTGTCTCAGTGTGTTGTATACAAGTCGTATCTATCTCCGTGTGTTGTATAGAAGTCATATCTGTCTCCGTGTGTTGTATAGAAGTCGTATCTGTCTCAGTGTGGTGTATACAAGTCATAGCTGTCTCAGTGTGTTTTATACAAGTCATATCTTTTTCAGTGTGTTGTATACTTGTCATATCTGTCTCATTGTGTTGTATACAAGACGTATCTGTCTGAGTGTGTTGTATAGAAGTCATATCTGTCTCAGCGTGTTGTATACAAGTAATATCTTTCTCAGTGTGTTGTAAACTAGTCATATCTGTCTCGGTGTGTTGTATACAAGGCATATCTGTCTCAGTGTGTGGTATACAAGTCATATCTGTTTCAGTGTGTTGTATACTTGTCATATCTGTCTCAGTGTGGTGTATACAAGTCATAGCTGTCTCAGTGTGTTTTATACAAGTCATATCAGTCTCAGTGTGTTGTGTACAAGTCATATCTATCTCAGTGTGTTGAATACAAGTCATATCTGTCTCAGTGTGTTGTGTACAAGTCGTATCTATCTCCGTGTGTTGTATACAAGTCGTATCTGTCTCAGTGTGTTGTATACTAGTCATATCTGTCTCAGTGTGTTGTATACAAGTCATATCTGTCTCCGTGTGTTGTATACTAGTCATATCTGTATCAGTGTGTTGTATACAAGTCATATCTGTCTCAGAGTGTTGTATACTAGTCATATCTGTCTCAGTGTGTTGTAAACTAGTCATATCTGTCTCAGTGTGTTGTAAACTAGTCATATCTGTCTCAGTGTGTTGTATACAAGTCATATCTGTCTCTGTGTGTTGTATACAAGTCATATCTGTCTCCGTGTGTTGTATACTAGTCATATCTATATCAGTGTGTTGTATACTAGTCATATCTGTCTCAGTGTGTTGTATACAAGTCATATCTGTCTCTGTGTGTTGTATACAAGTAATATCTGTCTCCGTGTGTTGTATACTAGTCATATCTATATCAGTGTGCTGTATACTAGTCATATCTGTCTCAGTGTGTGGTATACAAGTCGTATCTGTCTCAGTATGTTGTATACAAGTCATATCTGTCTCAGTATGTTGTATACAAGTCGTATCTGTCTCAGTGTGTTGTATACTAGTCATATCTGTCTCAGTGTGTGTATACAAGTCGTATCTGTCTCAGTATGTTGTATCCAAGTCATATCTGTCTCAGTATGTTGCATACAAGTCGTATCTGTCTCAGTCTGTTGTATACAAGTCATATCTGTCTCCGTGTGTTGTATACAAGTCAGATCTGTCTCAGTGTGTTGTAAACAAGTCGTATCTGTCTCAGTATGTTGTATACAAGTCATATCTGTCTCAGTATGTTGTATACAAGTCATATCTGTCTCAGTATGTTGCATACAAGTCGTATCTGTCTCAGTGTGTTGTATGATCGAACAGAGTGTGTTGTATACAAGTCATATTTGTCTCAGTGTGTTGTATACTAGTGATATCTGTCTCAGTGTGTTGTATGATCGAACAGAGTGTGTTGTATACAAGTCATATTTGTCTCAGTGTGTTGTATACAAGTCGTATGTGTCTCAGTATGTTGTATACAAGTCATATCTGTCTCTGTGTGTTGTATACAAGTCGTATCCGTCTCAGTGTGTTGTATACTAGTCATATCTGTCTCAGTGTGTTGTATGATCGAACAGTATGTGAACCAATGGGGGTACAGTATATGTACATTACAATATTTTTACATATCCTACAGTAGAGTAATAGTTCAACACCAAAGTCTGGTTTGATCCGGTTACTGTTCAGTTAGTCCGAGTCTGTTAGTCCGAGTCGGTTAGTCCGGTTGGCATTTTAACTAACCGTTCCAGCACTAGAAACAAGTTCTTTAGATTAACTGAAAGGCAGAGAATTATCAAAGTGAATACCAGGTGAGCGATGCAGGCCTATTGGGACTCTTTTATAGGAAAATGTTTGGCTATATTTTGTTTATATTCAGTTGGAAATTATTCAAGCTTGGATTGAATTATAAGCACAGGATGACAGTTTGAGGATATAGACAAATTGACCTTGATCCATCATCCCCAGGAGCTAAGGGGCGGGGCCAAAAATGGTGAAATTGGCTGAAATTTCAACAATCTTCTTCTTCAGACCCAGATATGTCAGAATCAAGTGCTCTTCAGAAATGGAAAGGTCTTAAGGTGATTTATCAAAATTGTGAAATCCATTACCCTAGGACATCACGTTTCCTCTGGAGAGGGGGTAAAGTATACAGTTTATATAGGGAAATTATATTTTTAGGTCACTAAGTCTCAAGTGATCTATATAGCTATTGCAAAAATTGCCTTTTGTCTTTCGTCGTGCATCGTCCCTCGTGTGTTGTCCGTCCATAAACAATTTACATTTTTGACTTCTTCTCAGAAACCCCTGAACCAATTTCAATGAAATTTCAAACATCTTCTTCTCAAGACCCAGATATGGTAGAATCAATAACTCTTCATAGAATGAAGGGTCTTAAGGTGCTTTACCAAAGTTGTGAATTTCATGACTCTGGGGTCTCACATTTCCCCCTTGGGATGGAGGGGGTAAAATTTACTATATATAGGGAAATCACATTTTTGAGCCTCATTTGTTGAATTGCCATTGGAAATGATTCAAACTTGGTTAGTATTATTCGTTTGGGATTGCAGTTTGATAGTATGCACATATTGGCCCTGACGGACTCCCAGGGGCTGATGAGCAGGGGGCAAAATGGGTAAAATTGACTGAAATTTCAAAAACCTTCTTCTCGAGCCCCAGATACGGTAGAATCAAATACTTTTCAGGTGCTTTACCAGAATTGAGAATTCCATTACCCTGGGGCATCACATGCGCATTCTCCCCTGGGGAGGGGGTAACATTTACTATAGTTTATATAGGAAAATTATATTTTGGCTATATTTTGTTTATATTCAGTTGCAAGTTATTCAAACTTGGATGAAATTATTCCAGTGAGGTAATTGTCCCAAAACTATATTACACGTGTTACTCTCTGAAGGTGCAATGGTGTGATTTGTGTTTCAGAGAAAAGAAAACATGAAGAGTCAATTAAGAAACTTGTAACCACAGCCACTCATTCAACAAATGGAAATAAAGAGACACAAATAATGGCTGGATTGGCACATCACCTATTTTCCCAATTGGTACCAGGCAAGAAGTATGAGGTTGATAAATATGCAAAGCAACTTCCAAAAGAGTGCGTCTGTGGCTGTAAGGCCAAGATATGTGAAGGAGACACTTCAGTAGGTAAGATCAATTTGCATTGTCTATGATTTTATTGTATTGTATGCATAATGAGTCTCGGAAATTCTTGAAGGGACTAATGAAGTTAGGCGACATTATTATGTACACCATTTTATGAAACTGTATTAATTGCGGGTTTTTTAACAACGATTTTAACGTACAGTATATAGGGAGTCTGATTTGTCTCTGTGCGAACGATCATTTCAGATACCAGTGTTCCCATGCATTCTCGCAGTAGAATGAATCATGCACAGACTTGTATACCCTTACATGACTTGCTTGCACATCTTTCTTGTGTTTTTGCATTGAAATTTATCTCAAAATTCAGTTACAATGTAAATATGCTAAACAAGATCTAGATGCTAAAGAAAACAACAACAGATTGCGTGAAAGATCTGTGTTCTTCCATTCCTCTCGCAACAGATTATATGCTTGTAACTATAGTTGATGGCTAATCAGACGTATCAGAAAACAAAATGGCCGAAAGGCTAGCTTTGATAATGTATCAAAATTCCATCCCTGCATGGGACGACATGGTGAACGACGGCCTGCAGGACCCAACAAACACGGTCCACACCCGTAACAGTACTGCCACGTCTCAAACACCCCAAAGCTTGTGTTTCCCCATGTGCACTCAGACACAGAAACTCACAACAATTGGTCTACCCATATCATGTGACTTTCATGTACCTTAGCTAATCATGACTTTGTTTATCGCATAGCTCACAGGGTATAAACTTTATGACTAGAATTAGGCAAAATACATTCCAACACGAATGTTTTGTCACGGGCTGTAACGACCCCCGTATATTTTTAGCCCACCATCTTACTCAAATCGCCCTGCGTCCGTCACGTCCAACGTCCGTCATCTGAAACTTCATATGTAGGTTCCTCTTGATCCCTAGTTGTGCCCATATGATTTTGAGTCTGATCCAGAAAACAAAATGGCTGCCAGGCAGCCATCTTTTATTTTGACAGTCGAAGTTTGCTATCGCTATTTCTTGAGAATTACTGGGAGGATTTTTCTCAACCTTCATACGTAGGTTCCCCTTGGTCCCTAGTTGTGCCCTTTTGATTTTGAGTCTGACCCAGAAAAAAAAATGGCTACCCGCTGGCATCCATCCAAAGCTAGAGGTGCAAAATAACTAAAAGTATTGAAATTCATCAGTATATGTTTTACATAAGGCACCCAGTCGTATATTTTGGACTGTTGTTGACTTCCCTAGGCTGGTGATACGTATCTGAATGATTAAAAAGTAAACAGAAAATCATGTATGTCTTTATTACAATCCTTTAAACTAGATATAAGGATGTAAGTATTTCATTTGTGGATTAATTGATTATCTACTTTCGCCATAACGTGAGACATATTTATGTAGGAATATTCACTGAGAAATGCATTCACTTACCCGTGGCAAACAGTCGAGTACGCCATATCTTAACAAATACCGATCCGTAGAGTCTACGAGTCACACCAGTATCTGGTTCCTGATTTAGTGGTAGATGCGCATGCATATTGGATGCCTCTTGGTTCTGATGGCGGAAATGAATCGTGAGAACGCAAATGCAAACGAAACTGAAAAGAAAACGAACGAAAAACGATCCAAAAAGCAAAAGAAAAATTGTAAATGATTCAGACCGCAAACATTCTCAAACAGTTCAGGGTCTGTAAATGACTGACAGGCGGCCATTTATAATTTTGACAGTTGAAGTCTGTTACTGCTATTTCTCAGAAAGTACTAAATGGATCTTTCTCAAATTTCATATGTAGGTTTCCATTGGTCCTAGTTTTGCATTTTAAATTTTGAGACTAATTGAAAAACAAAACGGCTGACAGGCAGCCATTTTGAATTTTGACAGATGAAGTTTGTTACAGCTATTTCCAGTTGTGCATGTTAAATTTTGAAACTGATCTAGAAACAAAAAGGCCAACAGACCGCCATCTATGATTATTTTTTGACAATTTATGAGAAACAAATCAATGAATATGCCCAATATCATTTGTGAATTCTTCTTTGTCACTAGTTGTACAATATATTGAGACTGAGGAACTAAAAGCACAGTAAATTTTTGTCAATATGACATACATGTCAAGAGATAAATATGAGGAAAAGAGAAAAAAAAAGAGAAAATATCAATCTTACCAAGAACCAATAAAGAACTTTCAATGGTGGGCGCCAATTGCAAAATCCCTCTGGGATATTTTGTTCTCAGATTACATATATGTAGGTTCCACTTCCTTTCAAATGATTCAGAGGAAAGATTAGAAAAGTAGAGAAAATATCAGTCTTTCAATAGACCAAATAAACATCATTCAACGAATGGTGGGCGCTAAGATCCCTCTCTTGTTAAGGTGATCATGATCGGCTCACATGTTTTTCCTGAGCTTTAATAATATGACCTTTTTAAACCTTTCACCACTGTAGACCATAATGGACTCATCCAGATCAATGCATGGTAGAGTCAACTAAAGTAATATAGGGGTGAAAGGGTTAAAGCCTGATAGTTGGCCTCGGCCGTTTACAGTTTATGTCTATATTTATCAAACAGGATCACAAAGAACATGGCATGGCAGAGTAGATGTCATCTTGAACCATACGATTGCTGTGGCATTTGGGAAGGGACAAACTGATGATGCTGAAGAGGATGAAGATGATGATACAGATGAAAGTGAACCACATAGAAAACAGAGAAAGGTAGAAACCCAATTGAAAAACGGTGATATTTGTGAAGAAGTGAAAGTCACCAAGAAACATGAAGGTGAACTCCTGGATCTAAAGGTCTTGCAGCAAATCTTTGCTGAAGCTATAACAAATGGATTTGCTCAAGTTAACCGAAATAGGAATACACTATCACATTTCCTGATTCCAACTTTTGGAACCACATCTGATCATGTTTCTATCTGTCTGTATGATCCTGAAAGTGACTGCTTACTACACATTAGGGAACAGCTCATGTTATGGTGTTCAGATGAGATGCCAGACCGACTAAATCTTTCTACCATAATTGTTATTTGGCTTTTCTTGAACTTCACTATCTTTACCCAGAAAAAACTGGCTGCTGTAGTAGATCTTGACAAGTCAGGATTACATGAGAATTTAAAGCAGCACCTGGACTATTACAGAAAGGCAGAAACAAAGACAAATTTTGTTTCTACAACACCTGTTGGACCGCCATGGAAACATGTGTACCTACAACCCAAAAGTTGAAAGAACCAAGCATGATCCCAGAGTACTAAATACAATGAAATGGTGACTATATTGTTTAATATATAAAACTATATAGAGATACCCATCTTTGTCTCGCCTGCGACTTAAGTTTTCATTTCATGTTTTACAATGCATTAATGTTGATACATAACATATCTGTGGTGTTTACAGATGGTGGGCTGTTCAAATCGCCCTCAGTTCAAGGTCTGTCGCCTATCTGTCCGTCCCTCCATAAATAATCCTTGTTATCGCTATTTCTTGACAGCAAGGATCTTTCTCAACTTTTATAAGTAGCTTCCCCTTTGTTGCTAGTTGTGCACGATGAATTTTGAGACTGATTGGAAAACAAAATGACTGACAAGCGGCCATTTTGAATTTTGACTGTTGAAGTTTGTTATTGCTCTTGCTCAAATTTCATATTTAGGTTCCCCTTGATCTCTAGTTGTGCATATTGAAAAAAAAAATTGAGACTGATCAGAAAAGAAAATGGCCGACAGACCGCCATTTTGAATTTGAACTGTTGAAGTTTGTTATCACTATTTTTCAGAAAGTTCTACCTGGATCTTTCTTACATTTTATATTTAGGCTCCCCTTGGTCTCTAGTTGTGCATATTGAAAAAAAAAATTGAGACTGATCAGAAAAGAAAATGGCCGACAGACCGCCATTTTGAATTTTTATAGTTGAGAGGCGGCCATCTTTGATTTTGACAGTTGAAGTTTGTTATCACTCATTTCTTGAAGTACTTGAACGATAATTCTCAAACTTGATTTGAAGGTTCCCGTTTAGCCCTAGTTGAGCATACATGTTCAATTTTGAGACTGATCAGGAAAACGTCACATACGATGACTAAACATTTTAACGGTGACACATTGTGAAACAAGAGTCGATGTACCTGGGTAATGCCCAAATACCAAAAGTCTTAAACAGTATATATCATAAAAGACTTACTGCAATTTTGATTTAGATGGCATGGACACAACAAGTAAAACACAGGGACATTCAAAGAAAGTATTTTTAAAACGTTGTCGTTTAAAGGAAAGACAACACTTCAGTCTTGTGGAACAGCCATCATCACTTGTGGGTTGCGTGTAGTATTATTACTGTATAACCAACTGCGGTTCTCAACAAAGGGTAAATGAAAGTACTCCGGAGTGAGCTGCCAAACATCATGTAATGTCAAATTATACAAGTTAAATTTGTAGAAAATCCTGGACCCGTGCATCACGATATCGGGAGGCTCAACAGCCCCAACAACATCATCTGCAATCACAGTGTGTAGGATATCCCCATCCAGCCATCCATTATGTACCAGTGAGAAAAAGCGTACAAATGGCCACTCGTGAACCTGTTAAATTAACAAGAAATTGGATATACTTTATAGTTCTGGTGATATTTTTATACACTCAGTAACACATTTATAAATACATTTTCTTGCTCTAATTTAAAGATATGCACAATCACTCAAATCGTCAAACTTATTAAAAAGAATTTTAAAAACATGAATTTGTGTAGACTGGTAAATATATTTTAACAATTTCAAAAGAAGCAAAACAAAACAAAAATAAAACAAAAACAAATATTTTCTGAAACAAAAACAAATAATGAGGCAATTATGCCAAACACAATACAGCCATGTTTTTCCAAACTCAGAAAATATGTTTATAAAATGTACCTGAAACAGACGTTTGGAGATTTTATTTTTAAAAGCCAAGTTGGGAGAAACACAACTATTAAATTAAACTGAAACTATATACTTACAACGGCAGGCAACATTCTTGAACCATGGGCAATTTTTAAAAACTGCCCTTGGTTATAACTGTAATATTGCAGTGTTCAAAATCTTGTTACAGGTATATTTAGAAAGTATAAGTTTTTAATCTATATTTCAGCTCAGAATTATACAAGATGTTTCTAGTACATTCTGTAACAGATATATTCCAAATAACATGGGTACATATTCAATTTAATACCTTTTTTTGCGAACAGACTGATCCTCTGTGATGGGCTGGTCCTCTATCATGGACTGGTCATCTGTAATTGGTTGGTCTACAGGCTGGTCCCGAGTGACGGATTGGTATATGGGCTGGTCCGCTGTGACGGATTGGTCAATGGGCTGGTCCCCTGTGATATGCTGGTCTATGGGCTGGTCCCCTGTGACAGATTGGTCTACGGGCTGGTCTGCTGTGACAGGCTGGTCCCATGTGATGGGCTGGTCCTCTGTGAGGGGCTGGTCCTCTGTGACGGATTGGTCTACGGGCTGGTCTGCTGTGACAGGCTGGTCCCCTGTGATGAGCTGGTCTACGGGCTGGTCCACTGTGATGGGCTGGTCCCCTGTGACATATTGGTCAATGGGCTGGTCCCCTGTGATATGCTGGTCTATGGGCTGGTCCCCTGTGACAGATTGGTCTACGGGCTGGTCTGCTGTGAGGGACTGGTCCCCTGTGATGGACTGATCCTCTGTGAGGGGCTGGTCCTCTGTGACGGATTGGTCTATGGGCTGGTCTGCTGTGACAGGCTGGTCCCCTGTGATGAGCTGGTCTACGAGCTGGTCTACGAGCTGGTCCCCTTTGATGGGCTGGTCCCCTGTGATGGGCTGGTCCCCTGTGACGAGCTGGTCCCCTGTGATATGCTGGTCTACGAGCTGGTCCCCTGTGATATGCTGGTCTAGGAGTTAGTCCACTGTGACGAGCTGGTCCCCTAGGATATGCTGGTCTACGGTCTGGTGCACTGTGACGGGCTGGTCCTCCAGTGTCTGGAAACTTAATTTCAGACACATACATTTAAAATAAATTGTACACATACTTGAAAGCAAATTTCCTATTTTTAAATGCACTTTAAAGGAAATAGGTTTTATCAGTATTGTAGACACTTGCAAGAATGGTTATGACTATAATATATGTTTTAGGTCTACTTTTATATCTAGTTACAAACTCACGTTTGGTATGACAGGAGAGTATGTGATGTCTTCTAGGTCCATGGTGTTCTCTTCCAGTCAAGTGTCATCACTTCAATCTGGCATCTGTAGATATCCCATGCTTATTGTACAAATGTTCAATAGGGAAACAATTCAGACTGACTCACATTTATTGTATATTCACGCTACCCACGACAAATACATTTTGCTTAAATTTCTATTGTGTATCATTAACACTATTCATGAAAAGAAAAATACCATCTACTACTATATATATAAATATTACCAGATAAGATTATTAAAACCTTTTTCGCATAAATGTGAAGATAAGAAAATATCCTGTGTGCATACCTTGTCAAGGTCCCGCAGGATATCGCTTAACCCAGATAACTCACATCAGGTTATATGTATACCCTTCCTCACTAATGTTGGAGGAACTGTCATTCACCACATCAGGATGTGCCAGGATGTGCTACCGGTACCACACAACTCCCCGGTTCTTCCATATGGTCATAAAGGTCTTGGTCAGAATCAGAGTCAGGGTCTTGGTCAGAGTCATCCAGTATGCTACTAGTACTTTGGTTGGAGATTTCAGAATCTGAGGGAGAAAAGTACATTGATATTAAAGACTCTAGACTATAATCTATAAATTTGACTTTAAACCCTTGAATAAGTATGATGTCATAAATATATCGTACACATTAATTATCATATTTACTGTGATATCATTATCTAACAATTGTCACTATGCACCCGAAGATTTGAATACAGGAAAAACGTTTGTGTGCAAATGCAACGCAATGTGTGAAAATACATGTACTAGAACATTTGGGAATGCCAGCTCACCTTCATCAGATTAATCTTGTCCACCCCGAGTTCTCACTCCTCTTCCCCCTCGAGCAATTGATATCCTTCCACCTCTAGTCCTTACTACTCCCCGCTCTGTAGCTCCTCTACCTCTGGCCTGTCCTCTATTTCTTTCTTGTCCTCTTTCTGCAACCTGTCCTCTACCTCTGGCCCTTCCTCTACCTCTGACCTGTCCTCTACCTCTGGCCTGTCCTCTACCTCTGACCTGTCCTCTACCTCTGGCCTGGCCTGTCCTCTACCTCTGGCCTGTCCTTCTTCCTTTTGTCTGTCCTCTACCTCTGGCCTGTCCTCTTTCTGCAACCTGTCCTCTACCTCTTGCCCTTCCTTTACCTCTGGTCCTTCGTCTACCTCTGACCTGTCCTGTACCTCTGGCCTGTCCTCTTTCTGCAACCTGTCCTCTACCTCTGGCCTGTCCTCTTTCTGCAACCTGTCCTCAACCTCTTGTCTGTCCTGTACCTGTGGCCTGTCCTCTTTCTGCAACCTGTCCTCTACCTCTTGCCCTTCCTCTACCTCTGACCTGTCCTCTTTCTCCAATCTGTTTTGTGACCAAGTCCTTTCTCTCCCAATCCTGGACATGTAACTTATTTTCACACTCCAATCCATCCGCATCGTCATGATGGCTTGTACACGAACAACAAAAACAAGACAAATTCCTTGTGAAAAGTGTGAAAGGTCTTGCCCCAGATTTTATGCTTTGGACTTTTCGGGTTCCTGATAAAGTTTTTGTTTTACTTCTTCCAGGTCGGTCTCGACTGATGTTGTTAACCAGAAAGAATGTCCTCTTGTGGTGAAGGTGGTCATTTTTTTTTTTCAGTTTTCTCCAACTTTTCTATTCCAAAATTGAATAAATCTTCTGCATTATTGATTACGCGATTCATTCCCATCACCGACCGTTTTGCTGATGCTTTGACGACTGCCCCTGCACCGTCCGATGGCCCTTTACCATATTGGGAACCGTAGAAGTGATGTTAAACCGGAAATCCGTGGTCATGATCGGCAAAAGAAATGTCCGTAAAGGGCGTCTTACTCTTGTATTGGGCCGGGCAACCATCAGTCAGTTGTCAGACCTCTCACATTTTGCAGGTGTTCATTGGCAAGAGAAGTAAATTTAGCAACAGCGTGAACATCGTGCTGCAAATCATCCGTCTTCACCAGTCCCGAGAATTGAACTTGCTGCCAATTTGCCACAAAGATGTGTTCCGCTAACTTTTCCAACTCATTGGCGAGCTCAAGCACAACCAAATTGGCCCCTTTCTCGTGTGACTTGGACATGACTTTTCTGACTATCGTAACCCTTTCCCATTTTGTATAGGTTATTTTTCTGTCTGAAACTATGGCAATGAGTGGGGTGTAGAATGCTACAATGCCGTCGGTTCCACAGCTTTCACATTGCCTCCTAATACACTGTTCCTTGTGCCATTTTTTGCCTGGTCTGGCACATATTTTTTTTCTTTTGCACTTGATCACCAACTGTGACAGTGACCGTAATTTTAACTCGTCATCGGTGCACGATTCGCAAAGACATGCATTCCATTTTTGTTTTTTTGTTGTTTTTGTGGTTTAGACTAAGCACTAAAGTAGAAATGCATAGAAAGGAGGATCATTCCTTATTTAAGGTCATAGGAGTGTATTGATAAACGGAAATAGGAAGTACATCCCTAGTTGAAAATTCAATGTTGGGAGACAGTATCACAATTTCCGCATATTATAATGTTTAATATTAAACTGATGAATATTGTATGTTTATTATTGACAGAACAGTGAGCACTCTCAATATTAAAGTATTTTACAGCAATCCAGGCATTAATTCAGTTGGTTTTATCAATGAGTCACATGTGTCTATTTTTCTGTACTACCCAAGAAACTGGCTACCTATTTCACTACTGTGAAGTTTTTCAAGAAAAAATTCACAGTAGTGAAATAGGTAGCCGGTTTCTTGGGTAGTACAGAAAAATAGACACATTCACTGATTGCCATTCTGCACGTAAATGCTCATATCACATCCTTCGAGGATGCTAATTAATGAAAATTACAACAATGCGTCACAAAAGAGGGTGAAAAAAGAGGAGAGGGAGAAATGTTTTTAAGGCATCATTTAAGAGGTGATTGATTTTGGAGATTCCAAAGGCAACATCATCACATGACCTGATTTTCAATTACCAGAATACAGAACGCATATCTGAGGTAGTATAGTAGATATTGATGCTCAACGAGTTACTGAAGCAATTAAATTTAAAGTGGTGAGCGGCTTTAATGTCACACGGACATAATTCTATTTTTTTCCAAATTCACTCCTTTTTACATAAATTTTCATTTAAAATTCTGACAACCTATTTTTTTTTGTGGCAGAAAATTGTCTTTACTTCAAAACACTATAACTACAAAATTTGAAGAAATTCTACTGAGAAATGGTGACAAAATCATATTACCTTAAGACACCGATATGGTATAAAAAAAACACCACCATAACTATTGGAATTAATGACATTTTCCACAAAAATTGGTTCAATAAGGGGATTGCGATTATCAATGATTTAGTTAAAGATAGTGTTGTTCGATTAATTGATCCTTGTTTTCCATGATTGATTATAGTTTGACTAATTTAAGTATTAACAAAAAATAAACTCGGATACTGTTGTAATATAAATTAGTCAAACTATAATCGATCATGGAAAACAAGGATCTATTAATCGCTGACAGCAAGCTGTTCGCTCGTGGGCAAAACAACTTGACCGAACGTCTCACACAACGACGACGCTGATTGGCTAGCCGGTCCACCCGACAACCAATAGAAATGATGCATGGCTCAGTCAGTGCGTGACAATATGGCAAACCAGGACATTCCGGAGATTAAACTCTTTGATCATCCGGGGGCTACTGATTTTAACGTTTGGAAGGTATTGTTTGTCCTTAGCTGTATATAAATAAACGCTTTGTCGAAAGTGTGGGCTATCTTACAAATAAAATGTTAAGTTTGACGGGGTGTCATCGGGTGAAAACCAATCCATCGCAGCATTTCTGAATACGGGATATAGCTGTCACAGCGCAATTAACATTGCAAACATCATCAATTTCATTTCCAAATACATATTTTTCAATAATTATAAGGTTCTATAAACAACTTATTGTTTTTTGTATGAAAGTTGTGTTATTAGCAAAATTCTCTAACGTCAGGGTTTCCCCGTGAACGAAAGAGAAAGTAGATTTCGGAAAGCGAATATAACCTTAAATTACTGAATTTAAGTTCAATTTGATCGATCATTAGTCGATCATCAGTCACTTGATTGGAAGTGGTGATCGAGTATGAATTTACAAGCGATTCCCAACACTAGTTAAAGATATTAGAAATTGTTTTTTTTTCTCTTTCAATGATTTTTTTACTCCTGGTTTAATAACAAATTATCTTCAGTATCAAGAAGTGATAATGAGCATATTTATTTTAAGATTGGACTAATAAATAACCCTCTGTGTTTTATGTTTTATGGAAAGGGAGACAATTATTCATATCCTATGGGAGTGCACTGAAGTACAAAGCTTTTTGACAAATTTTGAAAATCTCTTATATGGACTTGCCATTCCCTTTTCAATAAATAAATAAAATATTATTTTTGGATGTATCTTGCATACAGGATTTTTTAATAGAATTCACAATGAAATTGTTCTTTTTATCAAACATATATATACAAAACTAGATGTTTGTACAGCTCACTTAATGTTATGGCTCTGGTAAATTTGATTAAAGAAGCATGCTGCGATCAAGGGCTACACATTTTGTTCAAATAAATGACCTGCACCCATATTTAAGGTCACAGGGGTCAAATATGTTAAAAACTTTAAACAACCTCTTCTGAATAACCAAAATGCCCAGGTCGATATTTGGATAGTAGCATGCTGATATGAAGAGCTACCAAGTGTATGCAAATGTATGACCTTCACCCATATTCAAGGTCACAGGGGTCAAATATGTTAGAAAATTTAAACAACTTCTTCTGAATAACCAAAATGCCCAGGGAAATAATATCTGGTCAGTAGCATGCTGATATGAAGTGTCAATATTCACATTATCATCGACGTCACTTCAACCTCCAGATAAAAAATAACAAGATGAAGAAATATACAGTTGATATAAATGATAGTAGTAGTAAATCCTATTATTGCACAATAGTACACTTACTGATTACCAACTCAGATTCCATTTCCCTGTGTAGACTTTGGATAAGCAGTTCATAAACTCTATTACAGTAATCCTGATAATAAATAACGATAAGTTGTACATATTTCCTTACTATAAATCATCTAGAACAGTTCCAAATGTGCCAAGTAGATATCTTAAAAAAGAGGTTCACAGGGCACAATATTAAGTTACGTCTTCAATCTGCCACGTTCATCACAATCATGGTGACGGCTATCCAGCCAAGCATAATAGACTAGTTACATCACAGCTCCCCTGCGGCTGCACATGTGCATAGTGGGTTTCGCGAGTTACCTTCCCTTACCAGAGTCCGATCAACATTACTGTATCAGCTGTCCAGCCCGGTGTTGCATAACAGGAAACAGAACACTGTCACAGCTATCCAGCCCAGTGTTAATATTCACGGAGAGTTTTACATCATACCATGACACTGTCACAGCTATCCAGCTCAGCGCCAATATATACTCAGGAGTTTACATAACACCACAACAGCTATCCAACCCAGTGTTAACGAATGCACATTACTACAACCGTTGACAGTATTACTCCACCGTTCCCCGGCAGTATAATCAGACTGTATAGCCTAGACTACCTACATTATGTAGTATAAAGTAGCTTCCACAGCCTCAGACATCGGGCCTAGCGTCGGGTTTTCTGGGACCAACCCAAACCCCCTGAAACAAGCACAGTGCCCACCATATGTATTAAATATCCCAAACACGTTAACATTAACAAAACGCGCCTCGAAATATACAACATACAAATACACCGACCTATGACCAAAATATACAACACCTACTTTAATATTGGGGTCCATGGCCTATCTCGGAACTGCATCTCCTGACCACCTCCTCCTGCAAACTCGCAAACGCAACTCGCTGACAAAAATATCTTGCACGCTCCCTTTCGTTAACTGTTGATAGATAATATTGTGACTAACAGCCACAAATTAATAGATACTGATATTTCTTCAGTTTGTTGAATATTGATAGAATTCATTGATACTGACTCATCAAATAGTAGACACTGACAGTTCCTATGTTTGTTAACTATCGATAAATTTAATAGATGCTGACGGCATTAAAATAGTAGATACTGACAGTTTCTCAGTTCGTTAACTATTGATAGATTTAATAGATACTGACGGCAATAAATAGTTAATACTGACAGTTCCTCAGTTCGTTAACTGTTAATAAATTTAATAGATACTGACGGCAATAAATAGTTAATACTGGCAGTTCCTCAGTTCGTTAGCTATTGATAGATTTAACAGATACTGACGGCAATAAATAGTTAATACTGATAGTTCTTCAGTTCGTTAACTATTGATAGATTTAAGAGATACTGACGGCAATAAATAGTTAATTCTGACAGTTTCTCAGTTCGTTAACTATTGATAAATTTAAAAGATACTGACTGCAAT